TGTTTGAGCCCAGTGAGAGAGGTCTCTGACATGAGTGTCTTTGTGACGAACTGGTTGATTGCTTTTGTGATGCAGGGTGTCCCAAATGCAAATTTCCTTGCGCTAGATCCCTACCCTTATCTTTTCGTTTACCATCTTCGTAACCTTAACGCCAGGAGATAGCAAATGATTGCATATTTCTTCTTACACTTTAAGTGTTATACTAGAGAAGATTGAATTCAATCATGTTTTTATGTCTTAATCATCGTTTCCTTAGATAACGAAGGATTTGTCGACGATGTATCCGCTCCATAACTTTGGAAACTACTCGCCAAAAATCCGTCGCTCGAGCCTCAACAACCAGAACCTACAGAGACAACTCCTTTGGTAGTTCTTTTTTCTGCTCATAACACCGAACGTTGAAGTTAGAGAAAGTCTCAAGGCATAGTTTCAGGAACCTAATGAGTATGAAACGCCCAGTTTCTCTATTTTGTAAGGTGTAGCGTCAAGCTAGTCAGTTGCTTTCCGACCAGCATGTCCTCTCTCCTGAGGATAGCCTCCTTCTTTAACTTATCTGACCTCATGCTATGCCTTTCATTAGCATTTTTGCATCTTTAAATTTTAAAGTTTTGTCTACTTCTACCTTCTCCTCAATTATCAGCGAGTATTCCTTATGATATGTTTTTGTTATGCTGCTTAAAAAATCGTCATCTTGTGTTTCTGCTAGAAGTATTGATTTGATAGACGATAAGACGCCTATGTTGACGAACACCTAAACATTGTAACGATAGTTTTAAACGCCCCCTGATTCTTTAGATCAGTACGGCTGCACATCTCATGCAAGTTGCACAGGCCAACAAAAGAGCCTATTTATGTGGAGTTTCCTACAGGACAACATGGTTCCCGAAACTGTTTGCTTGAAAATTCCACATATTTCTGAAGCTGGAAGTTTTGTTAGACTGTCAACAGCAGGAGAGTGATCAACTATAATCAGCTACAAAAAGAGCGCTTATGCAAGCTAAGATAA